TTACAGAGATCAAGGGAGAGGGATAGAGAATTAGAAACATCGATGAGAGAGAAACATTGATCAGCTGCCTCTTGCACACCTCCTACTGGGAACGTGCCCGCAACCAAGGTACATGCCCCTGACCGGAATCAAACCTGAACCCTTGAATCCACAGACTGACACTCTATCCACTGAGCCAAATCGGTCAGGGCATGTCAAGAAGTTTAATGCCTATGTTTTCTTCTTTTGCTTCCCTTGCCTGAGGAGGTATGTCCAGAAAAAATGTTTAGCAATGTCAGTTTACTGCCCATGTTTTCTTCTAGGGGTTTCATAGTTTGGGGTCTGATATTTAGGTCTTTAATCCATTTGGAGTTTTTCTTCTATGTTATAACAAGGTGGTCTAGTTTCATTGTTTTAAGGGAGCTCCCTTGTAGGCAACCAACTGCCTTTCTCTTCCTGCTTTTAAGTTTCTCTTTTTGTCTTTATTCTTTGCCATTGTAATTATGATGTGTCTTGATGTGGGCTTCTTTGGGTTCATCTTGTTTCGGTCTCTGTTCTTCCTGAACTTTTTTGTCTGTTTTCTTGAAGGTTAGGGGAAGTTTTCAGGCATTATATCTTCAGATAAATTCTCAGTGCCTCTACTCCTCTGGTACCCCTGTGATGCAGATGTTGTCACTCTCAATGTTGCCTTAGAGGTCCCTTAATGTATCCTCATTTTTTTTTTTTTTTAATATATTTTATTGATTTTTTACAGAGAGGAAGGGAGAGAGAAACAGAATTAGAAACATCGATGAGAGTCATCGATCAGCTGCCTCTTGCACACCCCCTATTGGGGATATGCCCGCAACCAAGGTACATGCCCTTGACCGGAATCAAACCTGGGACCCTTCAGTCCCCAAGCCGACGCTCTATCCATTGAGCCAAACCGGTCCCGGCAGTATCCTCATTTTTTTAAAAGTTCTTTTTTTTCTTTTTGCTGTTTTGATTGGGTGTTTTTCTTTTTTTAAATGTTTTTAAGAAATTTCTTTTTTTTTTTTTTTTTTTTTTTTTAGATTTTTAGGGAGAGGAAGGGAGAGGGAGAGAGAGAAACATTGATGAGAGAGAATCATTAATCAGTGGCCTCCGACATGGCCCCTACTGGGAATTTAGCTGCAATACAGGCATGTGCCCTTGACTGGAATTGAACCTGGGACCCTTCAGTCTGCAGGCCGATGCTCTATCCATTGAGACAGACCAGCTAGGGCAAATGAGTGTTTTCTTCTACCTTCCAAATCACTGATTCAGTGCTCTGCTTCAGCTAATCTGTTTTTTATTCCTTCTAGTATATTCTTTATTTCAGTTATATTCATTTCTGACAGGCTCTTTTTTATGGTTGTATGTTCTTTGTTAATGTTTACTATCTCTTTGTTGAAGTTTTTACTAAGTTTCAATGTTTTGAACTCTGTATCTGATAGATTGCTTATCTCCATTTAGGTTTTTTTGGGGGAGATTTCTCTTGTTCTTTCATTTTGGGGGCATGTTTCTTTGTTTCCTCATTTTGACTGCCTCTCTGTGTTTGCTTCTATGTATTAGTCAGATCTGCTATGTCTCCCAGGCATGATAGAATGGTCTTACACAGTAAGTGTCCTATGGGGCCCAAAGGCACAGTCTCCCTGATCACCTGAGCAGGGTCCTCCAGAAGTGTCCTTATGGGGCTTGTGTGTCCCTCCTTTTGTAGGTGAGTCTTGATTGCTGTTGGCCCCTCAGTGGGTAGGATTGGCCCTCAGACTGATTAACTGCGAGGATTGGCCATGACTACAATGTACAAACTGCTGGGTTAGGGGTGACCCCACAGAAATGGAATTCACCTTAGCTGACTCTAGTGCCTGCCAAAACCACCCTTAGGATGTGCCACTTGTGCTGTCCTGTAGTGGTCTAAGCTGGCCACCCTGTGTGTTGGTTCTGAGGTCTCTTGAGAGGGTCTCCAGTGCAGGTCAAGGTCAGCTGCTGCCTGTTACTGGTCCCAGGCTACCTGGTAGGAGCCACAAAGCAACCCACAAGTGGCTAACTGCTTGTGGTGCACCTGGAGGTGCTCGGGAGAGTCCACACTGTGAGCTAATGCTGGCTTCTACCAGTACCAGACCTTGGGCTGCTTAGCAAAAGACCTAGGGCTCCTGAGTCCTGCTGCCTCCTGCCAGCTGCCCGTGAGGCACAGCCACTGGCAAGAGCCTTGGCTGGTACCTGAGTTGTGTGAAGTGGGGTGAGTGTTGTTTACCAGGTATTATAAAGCAGGGTTAGATTTGGCAGGGTTAGATTTGGCTACGTTTGAGGACACTTGGCAAAAGGCACTAGACACATCAAGGCCGCCTGCGGAACCTGAGTTTTTTAAGAAGGACTAGAGCGTGGGCCAAGGCTGGCTGTGTGGCACCGAAAGAGCCTCTAGCAGTGTGAGATTGGATGGGGCAGGATCTCAGGGGTCATTAGGATGGAGCCTGTGGTGTTTACCAGGCAGATTCGGATTTTTTTTAAAAGTTCTTTTTGAGGGGAGGGCTCAACACAGGAAAAATGGTGCTGCTTGCTGGCTGTTGCAAGGAAGTTTCAACACAGACATAATAGTGGCTTTCCTATCTGGCTGGTGTGGCTCAGTGATTGAGCATCGACATATAAACCAGGAGGTCACAGTTTGATTCCCAGTCAGGGCATATGCCTGTGTTGTGGGCTTGGTCCCCAGTGTGGGGTGGGCTGGAGGCAGCCAATCATTGATTCTCATCATTGATGTTTCTGTCTCTCTCTTCCTCTACCTCTTTCTCTGAAATCAATTAAGTTAAAAAAAAAAATAGTGGCTGTCCCTATAACTGTTGCAGAAGCCCACACTCAGTTTCTCCCAGAATGTCTCTGGCACCTTTTGTGCTGCTAGCCCTCCACCAGGGCACAGCTGGTGAGTGCTGGTGAGCAGGTGAGTCTGTATGGGGGCCCTTTAGGAAGACACCAGCAGCCTTCCATCTCACCTGGATGCAGAGAGTCTCTGCTCACCTTCACGGCTAGATGTGGTTCCTGGCAGGGGTGCCCCAGGCTGGGGAGTGTGTGTGGGGCTGGGACCTCCTTTGCAGTGAGATGTTCATCCTGATTCTCAACCACCACTTGTGCAGGTGGGGCCAGCCCATTTTGTTTCTTTGCCCCTCCTACCAGTCTCTCTGTGGCTTCTCTTTTAGTTCCTCAGTTATAGGACTTCTGTTCTACTTGTCTCCAGGCAACTCTCCATGTTGATAGTTCTATAATCTAGGTGTAATTTTTATGGAGGCCACACTGTTTACCTACTTTGTCATCTTGACCAGATCCCTGGAAACAGTATTTTCAGTCTGAGGTTGGGAATCCACAGGTGCAGGGTGCCAACAGGGTGCATTGCTCTGTAAGGCCCTGAGGGTCTGTGGACTTCGTTATTGGCAGGGGGTCACCACAATGAAAGAGACAAGTGTATTGAGGTTTATTTTTCAAATATGTTTTATTGATTTTTAGAGAGAGGAAGGGAGAGTCATAGATTGCAATATTGATGAAAGAGAAATATCATTGATTGGCTGCCTCCTGCATGCGCCCCCTCCCTCCCTCAGGGGATCAAGCCCACAATCCAGGTGTGTACCCTGACCTTGAATGGAACCAGCGACTTCTTGGTTCCTAGATTGATACTCATCCACAGAGCTACCCTGGCCAGGCAGTATTCCATAATTTTTAAACCAAAGAGATTTATTTCAAGATGTTAAAAAGACACAAAGTGTCATTTAACATGCCTTTAAGATGATTTTAAAACCGTAATATTTAATTTGTTCCAAGTGTTAATGTTATTTTTAGCTTCTTTATCTTAATTGCTTATGGAAAGGTTATGTAGAACATATTCTAGAGTTATATGGATGATTTAGAGTTTCAATGAATTATACTTGTGACTTTTATTTTTTTAACTTTTTATTTATTGATTTATTTTAGAGAGCCAAAAAGGGAGGGAGTGGGGAGAGAGAAACATCAATTTGTTGTTCCATTTATTTATTGGTTGATTTTGTATGTGCTCTGACTGAGGATCAAACTACAACTTTGGCCTATCAGGACAGCACTCTACCCAGTTGAGCTACCTGGCCAGGGCTACTTGTGACTTTTAGATTCATTGCAATAAGAAGTTTATATTTGTGTACTTGACTGTATTTGAGTACTTATTTAAAGTCTTCATTATTAAATGTGCTGTCCTGTTTGTCGCAGAAATCCAGTGTGGTTGGTCTGTTTTCAGCTTTATATGGATGTGGGGTGGGCACAGTGGGGTCATCTTCCAGGGTCACACAGAACGCAGGGGAGGAACTAGGATCTGAGCAAAGGCACCCTGACTCCAAACCAAGCTGTTAATGAAGCATTATACAACCCAGCGTGCATATAGAAACACTACAGTGTTTGCTTACTGGATAACAACTGTCCTCAAAAATAACATTCCTGTTACCTTTTATAGCAGTGAAAACAGGTTAAAACATCTCTTCTTAAAGGTGTCTTTAGTTATAAAGATTATGTGGTGGGACAGGAGTGTGAGGCAGATGTGGGAACACAATAGAATCCTGACAGGTCTCAGTGACAGTAATGGCCAACTTTCTCCATTCAAGGATTTCACCTGCTTTAAGCTTGTGTTCATAAAATGGTTGGAATTAAATGTGGACATTGACTCAGATATTTGACTAAAATGAAGGGGAACTTATTATTTGGCTTCTAGAGGGGACTCACATTTGCTGAGCACCTGTTATATTGAGGGAAATGAGAAAGGAAAAATAAAAATGAACACCAGTGAAAACAAGATGCAAACATAAATCAGTTCCCTTTACAACAAACTAATTAAACTTTTGAGATATTTAATATCTCTTCAGAGACTTAAATTACTAAAGTAAAAGAAAGGGGAGAAAATTTGAATCCAGTTTTTTCCATGGTCTCCTTAGCAACTCACTTCTATTACTGGCATGTACAGATGGTATTTGATTTTTCGTGGTTAAATATTTATGCAACTCCTTTCCTACCAGCTAAAGGAACTCTCAGCGAAGATACCATCAGAGTGTTTCTGCATCAGATTGCAGCTGCCATGCGAATTCTGCATGGCAAGGGCATCATCCACAGGGATCTCAAGCCACAGAACATCTTGCTGTCTTACGCCAGTCGCAGGAAATCCGGTGTCAGTGGTATTCGCATCAAAATAGGTAAATGGCTGTGCACTGTTTCATGCAAAGAACATTTTTGAGTCTCTGTTTTTAGATAATTATAGGTCATCTTTGTTAGAATGAGTGAGTTTGTTGATGCACTTTGAAAGTTTTTATTGAGTTCAGTGAGGTATGAGATAGTGAACACTTTACATTACTGGCAGCATATGCTAAATTTTGCACAGGGGCTCAGATTAGGAATTCCAACAGGAAATACTGCTCCTCCTTCTCCGAGGGAAGTTATAATCCAGTTCTTGGTGTTGGTGGCAAAGTTATAATCCAGTTCTATAACTCATGGAATTTTAACATAAGAAATCTAAGAGGCCCTGACTGGTTTGTCTTATTGGGTAGAGCGTCAGTCTGTGGACTGAAGGGTCCCAGGTTCAATTCCGGTCAAAGGCATGTAGGAGGTGTGCAAGAGGCAGCTGATCGATGTTTTTCTCTCATTGATGTTTCTAATTCTCTATCCCTCTCTCTTCCTCTCTGTAAAAAATCAGTAAGATATATTTTTTTAAAAAGAAGAAATCTAAGAGACCATTTAGTTTAACCTTATTTGGCAGGTTTTTTAGTGCTCTTAGATCTCAAAATTATTTGAAGCAGTTTGTATTGCTAGATTTTTAAAAAACTTTTTTTATGGTTTTTAGAAAAATAATTTTTTAGCAATATTTTAAAATTTTCTAATGTTATATTGGTTGCATCTCATATCTGCTGGACAAAAACAGTTCAAATTCTACACCTGGTATTGATATTTAATGAGAGCTATGTTAATTAATTATTTATTATAATTAGCATTTTCCCTTGTAAAGCTTGGTGCTTGATCTCCTTGGTTACAAAATTGGCACAGCACTGACTTGTACGATTATTGACTACTATTTCTTAGCTTGTCAAAATTGAAGTAGCTACTTTTTCTTTGGTAAAAGTCTTATTCATTGACCGTTAATTTCTTTTTTGCCTTCTTGTCTCCTGAAGAATTACATGATCTTTGTTAAGTGAGCAAAATCATTTGTTTTTCTCCTTTTTATTTTGTGAAATAGCGGATTTTGGTTTTGCTCGTTACTTACATAGTAACATGATGGCTGCAACACTGTGCGGATCCCCAATGTACATGGTGAGTGAGTGTTCTGTTCTTGTGTGTTTACAGCCATAGTATGGTATGTATAACGCTTGTTCCCAAGTAGGATATCAGTTTTTAGAGTCTGAATTGTTATTTATGCCGCTTACATTAATTATGTTACTGATAATGCTATAACACAGACACCTTTTGCTTTGGCACAGTGGACTGTAAAAGTTAGTTCTCTTTGCCCTTTGGTTTTAATTTTATCTTTTAATTAGTTATTGACCTGGCCAATGTGACTCAGTTGGTTGAATGCCATCCTGTACACCAAAATGTCACAGGTTCCATTCCTGTCAGGGCACATGCCGGGTTTCAGGCTTGATTCCCAGTAGGGGATATGCAGCAGACAACCCATCAGTGTACCTCCCATTGATGTTTCTCTCTTTCTCCCTTTCTCTCTAAAATAAATCAATAAAAAATACTTAAAAATAAGTTAAAATTAATTATTGTGGTAGAAATTTCCTACAATATTAAAATGAAAATAAAAATTGATGAAGTATCATCATGCCATACTTGATGTGTAATATTAAGAATACTTACAAAACACCTTTTGGGTTGGGAATCTCTTCAGCTATAGGATACATTACTTTTTTGCATGTTGTCTTTCTTGATGAGATCCCTATATTGTAGAAGCTTTTTTACTCAGTGTCACACTTAAAGCTGAACAATCTTAGCTTTCCTCTTTATTTTTTTACTAGTGGCCTACTGCATGAAATTTTTGCACACTAGAAGGGAATTAATTTGAGGAAATATTTTAATATTGCTATTTGTCCTTTCACTATAATAAAAGTTTTAGAGATGAAAGAAAATTAGTAAAATGTATATGAAAATCTTCCTCCTTGTCAGAGTGGGACCCAGAGTCAAGTCCCCACCCTCGAAATCACACGAGACCCAGACTCGGCCGGCCCCACCTCCAACAAGCCCTGCCAGGTGGGGGGCACAGCCTCAGGTTCCCCGTGCACCCTCATAGGGCAGGGGGCATGGCCTAAGGTCCCCAACCTGTCACTGGGGCGGCGGGCGGGCCTTGAGTTCCCCAATTAAGCTGTGCCAGGCAGGGGGCATGGCCTGAGGTTACCCGTCAAGCCCCACTAGGCAGGGTACCCAGCCTCAGATCCCCCACCCCACCCTGGGGCCATGCAGCCTCAGGTCCCTGCTGATTGCTCATTACAGCTTGTTACGGGAACCCTGCCTTCGTTGTGGGTGCAGTCATCTTGTGATGGCATTATGGTGTGAGGGTCAAATTTGTATATTACCTCTTTTTTATATAGGACATACATATTGCTAGGTCTGATGGGGTTAAGCTATGAAACTTATAAACTAATGTGAAGTATTAAGCCTAGAAATGTCCTTCGTAGTAAATAAATGTACCTGTTTCAATTCTAAGTTTAAAATGGATTTATTTCTAATTAGGATTTTGTCTCATCTAAAATCAACTTTGAAATCAAGGGAACTAGTAATCAGAGTTCAAAAAATTTTTACATTAGATTTACTTTTTTATCATAATTTCACTGCTTATATACAAAATTATTAATTTAATATAATTTAGAAGTTATTTTGCACTTGTTGAGTATGAAATTAGTCCAGCCATGAGTTAATAGCTTTAAGGGTAGAGAGTGCTTAAGCTGTTTTTTAAAAAAATATATTGATTTTTTACAGAGAGGAAAGGAGAGAGAGAGAGCTAGAAACGTATATGAGAGAGGAACATTGACCAGCTGCCTCTTGCACACCCCCTACTGGGGATGTGCCCGCAACCAATGTACATGCCTTCACTGGAATCGAACCCGGGACCTTTCAGTCGGCAGATCGACACTCTACCACTGAGCCAAACCGGTTTCGGCTTAAGCTGATTTTTAAAGGAAATTGACTCAATAAGAAATTTATAAGGGACAATAAAAATTTTATGCCTGGAAAATAAAATTTCACTATCCTTTTTTTAAAAAAATATATTTTATTGATTTTAAACAGGAACTGAGAGGGATAGAGAGTTAGAAACGTCGATGAGAGAGAAACATCAACCAGCTGCCTCCTGCATACCTCCCATTAGGGATGTGCCTTCAACGGAATTGAACCCAGGACCTTTCAGTCCCCAGGCCAATGCTCTATCCACTGAGCCAAACTGGTTTCGGCAAAATTTCACTATCTTTAATATATTTCACATTTCTGTTTAATGCTTGTCCTGATTGATGGTATTTTAAAAAAGCAGCATTAAGTGAGAAGTGAAAAAATAGCTGTAGCAAAGCAGCAGAGAAATAAATGCCTTTGTTTTTTAAGATAATTTTATTGTGTTTTGTAGTACAGTTTTTCTGTTGTTTTAAAAGCTTTCAAGTGACAGAGAAAAGGTATATTATAGCAAACACTTGTGTTCCTACCATCTAAATTTAACAAAGTTAACATTTGCCATGTTTGCCTTGAAGTAAAATATTTCAGAGATGGTCCAAGTTCCTATTGTACCTGTCTCTTTTCCCATGTCCCACTCTTATACTCTCTTCTCCCAGAAGTAACCTCTATCCTGTAATTGCTATGTGTGTTTCTTTATTATTTTAGTATTCTTACTATATTTCATAATATATAGAAACTAGAGGCCCGGTGCACGAAATTCATGCACGGGATGTTTGGGGGCGTCCCTCAGCCCAGCCTGCACCCTCTCCAATCTGGGACTGCTTGTTTAGGCAGGATTGGACCTAAATGGACAGTTGGACAATCCTCTCACAATCCAGGACTACTGGCTCCCAACCGCATGCCTAACCACTTCTGCCTGCCAGCCTGATCAAAGCCTAACTGCTCCCCTGCCAGTCCAGTTGCCCCTAACTGCCCTCCCCTGTGGGCCTGGCACCCCCCCCCCCAACTGCCCTCCCCTACAGGCCTAGTCACCCCTAAGTGCCCTCCCCTGCAGGCCTGGTCCCTCCTCCCCCACTGCTCTCCCCTGCTATCCTGGTCCCTCCCAACTGCCCTTTCCTGTAGGCCTGGTCCCCCACAACTGCCCTGGCCTGCAGGCCTGGTCCCCTCCTGCAGGCCTGGTCTCTCCCCCACCCCTCAATTGCCCTTCCCTGCAGGCTTGGTTGCCCCAACTGCCCTCCCCTGCAGGTCATCTTGTGGTGGCCATCTTGTGTGTGGGAGTGAGAGTCAATTTGCATATTACCTCTTCATTATACAGAATGCTTGTTTCTACAACTTATTTTCATGCATCATTGTTTTTGAGATTTACCAGTAAATGTCAGTGTAAGAAAGTAGTTCTGTATTCAATAGTTTCATTTTAATTAGGAAAATATCACAATGTTTTGTGTTTATTTTAGTAGGGTTTTTCCCCCAGTTAATTAATATGTGCATATTAATTATGTAAATAACATAATGCTCTCTCTTGCACTTTCTTACCACAGGCTCCTGAGGTTATTATGTCTCAACATTATGATGCTAAGGCAGACTTGTGGAGCATAGGAACAGTAATATACCAATGCCTCGTTGGAAAACCACCTTTTCAGGTACTCTGACTTTTTCTTATGTGCTCAGTTTTGGGATCTTCTCCTTTTGCCTTTGACTTATAAAATGGAGAATTCCTTGAAAGCAGTGTTTTTGTGACATATTTTAATTTAGTTACAGGCAAAAACTACTGTAGTGAGCCAAAACATTTTTTTTTATTTTTATCTGCCTTTCCTTTGTAGTTGGAATGAGCCCATTACAGGTTTTCCAGGGCCGTGGTCGGCAAACTGTGGCTTGCGAGCCACATTAGCTCTTTGGCCCCTTGAGTGTGGCTCTTCCACAAAATACCATGGCCTGAGCGAGTCTATTTTGAAAAAGTGGCATTAGAAGAAGTTTAAGTTTTAAAAATTTGGCTCTCAAAAGAAATTTCAAACGTCGTATTGTTGATATTTGGCTCTGTTGATTAATGATTTTGCCAACCACTGTTCCAGAGTATTAAAAACTAGTGGGTATGAATTGCTTAGCCTGGTTTTGGGATCTTGGGCTAGCCTGGGAATATCACTGGAAACTGTCCATAGGTGGCTATTCCTGTCACTCTGGGTCAGAGAGAGCTAGTTGTTTAGGTTTTATGGAAATTATTTTGGGTCTGTGTCTCTGTCCTCCTTTACTATAACATCCTGTCAAAAAGAGACCCTCTAGAATGTAATCATGGTGATTCCTCTTGAATTCATATTGTGTAATTGCATAGAGGTTTTTTGAATCTGAATACTGAATCAAAGTGAACCTACTAGCCCAAGATGATATTTAAAACTCAGTGACACAGCCAGATCAGGCAGCTATTTTTCAGATTCCATTTGTCTGCACAAGCAGCCCTAATGCGGTAGCTCTTTCTGGGAGGGTGCTGCTTGCTCCTGTGGAGAGACGGAAAAGTAGTGGGATTCTTAGTTCTCTTCCTGGAATCCCTTGAAGGTCTTAAGGTTAAAATATACCCTGATTTTACATAGTAACAGTGTACCTGTTAGATAGGCCATGACTATTAGTTCTTTACCTCTAGAATAGTGGTTCTTAATCTTTTCTAAGTTTCAGGCCTCTTGAGTGTTTGACCTCAGTGCCCAGATATTTAGAATTTGCATATCTATTTCAGAGCTTTATTAAGTTCCTGGTGGCATCTATGGCTTGTTCAACAATCTATGGCTTCCAAGTCAGAATCTATGTTCTATAGCAAGAAAGTAAACATCAATCATATGATTTAGAATTTTTGCCTCTGATATTTAGTAAACTAGAAGCCAGTGCATGAAATTCGTGCATGGGTGGAGGGGGGGGGGTCTCCTCAGCCCAGCCTGCACTCTCCAATCTGGGACCCCTTGAGGGATGTCTGACTGCTTGTTTAGGCAGGATTGGGCCTAAATGGGCAGTCGGACATCCCTCTCACAATCCAGAACTGCTGGCTCCCAACTTTTCACTTTCCTGCCTTCCTGATTGCCCCTAACCACTTTTCATGCCAGCCTGATCACCCCCTAACCATTCCCCTGCCAGCCTGATTGATGCCTAACTGCTCCCCTGCCAGCCTGTTTGCCCCTAACTACCGTCCCCTACAGGCTTGGTTCCCCCCAACTGCCTTTCCTTGCATCCCCAGTTACCCCCAACTTCCCTCCTCTGCCAGCCTGGTCCTTCCTGCTGGCCATCTTGTGGAGGCCATCTTGTGTCCACATGGGGGTAGGGTCTTTGACCACATGGGGGCAGCAATCTTGTGTGATTGGTCAATCTGCATATTACTCTTTTATTAGATAGGATAGAGGCTTGGTGCATAGGTGGGGGCCAATTGGTTTGCCCTGAAGGGTGTCCTGGATCAGGGTGGGGTTCTCTTGGGAGCGTGGGGCAGCCTGGGCGAGGGGCCTGTGGTGGTTTGCAGGCCTGCTATGCCCCCTTGTGACCCAAGCAGAGGCCCTGGTATCTTCTACAATTGAAATTTTGTAGCTTGGAGTAGAGTCAAGCCTCCTGCTTGCTCTGTGGCAAGCAGCCATTTCATTAGGGGTTTATGTATCTTCTACAATTGAAACTTTGTAGCCTTAAGCGGAGGCCTGGGCCGGCAGGGTGTGCAGAAAGCTTGGCTTCTTCCATTGCCAGGGGCAACCCTAACTTCCCACTCTTTCCAGCTCCACGCGGCTGCCACCATTTATGTTTGGATTTGTTTACCTTCTATAATTGAAACTTTATAGCCTTGAGTGGAGGCCAGCAAGGGCAGGCAGAAAGTTTGGCTTCCTCTATTGTCTGAGAAACCCAAGACTCCTTCCTGCTCTCTGTGGCTGTAGCCATCTTGTTTGGGTTTATTTGCATATTCATTCTTGATTGGTTGGTGAGGGTGGCTTATTGGTATAGTGGAGTGATGGATAATTTACATATTACTCTTTTATTAACTAGGATTAAACCTTCATTTTTTATTAACAGGCCAATAGTCCTCAAGACTTAAGGATGTTTTATGAAAAACACAGAAGCTTAATGCCTAGGTATGTTTCATTACACTGAGCTTTACTCTTCGTTAATACAATTAATACAGTGTTATTTATTTGAACTCTCTGTTCTATATATTGCCATTATTGAGCCTTTTTTCCAATGACAATGAGAACATTTGTTATAGCAGGAAATTAGAAAATTACTAGTGCATCATAGGTGCCTGTGTAGTGCTGTATCATTTTCCTTTGTTTTTATATTTAAAAGAAAAACTATGGGCCTGGCCTATGTGGCTCAGTTGATTGAGTGGCATCTCATGCACTTAAAGGTCTCTGGTTTGATTCTGGTCAGGTCATGTGTTCGGGTTATAGGCTCTATCCCTAGTGTGGGGCATGCAGAAGGCAGTGGATCAATGTTTCTCTGTCATCATTGATGCTTCTATCTCACTCCCCCTCTCCCTTACTCTTTGAAATCAGTAAAACATATTTTGCTCAGCTGGTGTAGCTTAGTGGTTGAGCATCAACCTATGAACCAGTCAGTCGGTTTAATTTTCCTGGTCAGGGCACATGCCCAGGTTGCGGGCTCAATTCCCAGAAGGGGGTATGCAGAAGGCTGCTGATCAATGGCATCTCTGTCTCATAATTGATGTTTCTATCTTTCTCTCTTCCTCTCCCTTTCTTGAAATCAATAAGAATATATTTATTTTATTTTTATTTTTAAAAATATTTTTATTGATTTTTTACAGAGAGGAAGCGAGAGGGATAGAGAGTTAGAAACATCAACAAGAGAGAAACATTGATCAGCTTGCCCTTGACTGGAATTGAACCTGGTACCTTTCAGTCTACAGGCCAACGCTCTATGCACTGAGCCAAACCAGTTTCGGCTATTTATTTATTTTTAATTTAATAAATCTTTATTGCTCAGATTATTACAATAGTTTCTCCTTTTTCCCTCCATAACTCCCTTCCACCGGTTCCCACCCCAACCTCTGACCTTACCTCCCCCTCATTGTCCTCATCCATAGGTGTACGATTTTAGTTCAGTCTCTTCCTGCACCTCCAAACCCCTTTCCCACTGATAATTTTTAATTCACTCTCTTTCTTTGCCCCTAATTCACCAGTTTATTCTGTTCTTCAGACTTTTAATTTACTTGATTTTTAGATGAAATCAATAAGAATATATTTAGCACTAGCTGGTTCCTAGGTTCGATTCTGGTCAAGGGCACATGCCTGGGTTGGTTGCCAATAGGGAGCGTGCAGGAGGCAGTTGATCAATGGGATTACTCTCTCATCATTAATTTTTTTTCTCTCTCTCTCTCTCCCTTCTCTGAAGTAAAAATAATAAAACATATTTTTAAAAAGAAAAGAAAAACTATGGAAGTTATATTTGTTCTGTGAGAAGAAGGAGATGCAAACAGAATAGATGTACATAAAGTAGAAAATAAATTCTCTCTAGGCCTTCCCCGACCAGGAATAATGAGAGTTTGCTGTGTATCCTTTTAAATCTTCCTTGTGCAAGTTCCTTTGGCACTTTTGAATGCTTGTTTTTGTATATATTTATATACACAGGTATAGTTCAGTATAAATTACATCATATTTTGCAAATTGTCCAGTCCAACTTTTTCTTCTCTACAATTCAGCATAGACATTATTCAGCAACTACTGCATTCTTTAAAATGGCTACACAGTGTCTCATGGTTATATATAATATCAGGTTTTGTTTGATCAGATGCTTGTTTTTATTTTCTGGTTAATACAAATAGGCATTAGTGGGGGGCACAAAGAGGGAAAGTGTGCACACATTGTGTGTTTCCATGGACTCCTAAAATGGACCTGCTGGACTGAAGGTACTCCCAATTGGCTGCTCCTTGCTTACACAGCGCAGAGTACGCCTTCCCCATACTTACCACAGTGGGATGCCGTCACCCTTGCTGCCTCACAAATGGGAAGGACAGATGACTATAATGTCCTTCGCATTATTCTCTGTTAGTGAGGTTGGCTCTTTTTTATTTGTTTAATGTCCTTTCTGTAGTTTTCTGTGAATTGCATATTTCTATTCCTTTTTCAGTTGCCTTGTCTTTTTATTGTTGGATTTCAGGTTAGCTGTATTATTTCTCACTTATGTTTATTTAAGCTCTGCCTTTTCCAGAACGAATTGGAGGCAGCCTTTTTTTTTTTTTTTTTTTTTTTTAAACAGAGAACTCTGTAGTAACTGTTAGTCCCAGGTTGCAGTTGTGATAAAACCCAAGATTGCCCATCTTGTGAAGTGCTTTATTCACGTAGATATTCCAGCATACCGCAGGAATGAGCACATAACAGGAATCATTCTCAAAGACAGTTCCTTACTGTATTTTTTTCCTTTGAGGATTGAAGCTTTACTATGGTACTGGTGTGAGATGTAGTGTTTGTGAAATTGCATATACCTTTTTGTTTATACATTTAAGGCAAAAGTTGAGTAGCTAATGTAGTATATAAACTCACCATTTAGGTTGTTTGTTTGTTTTTTCCCTCCTTTCCCTCAGCATCCCCAGAGAAACATCCCCATATTTGGCTAATCTTCTTTTGGGTTTGCTTCAGAAAAACCAAAAAGATAGAATGGACTTTGGTAAGTAATATTTTCAATTTTTTCATGCTTTCTGATTTTATTTGTATACTAGAAGCCCAGTGCACAAAATTTGTGCACAGGGAGAGGAGGTGGTCCCTCGGTTCAGCCTGCACCCTCTCCAATCTGGGACACCTTGATTGATGTCCGACTGCTTACCAGGATTGGACCTAAATGGTCAGTTGGACATCCCTCTCACAATCTAGGCCTGCTGGCTCCCAGGTGCTCGCCTGCCTGCCTTCCTGATTGCCCCTAACCACTCTTCATGCCAGCCTTATCATCCTTTTACCATTCCCCTGCCAGCCTGATTGATGCCTAACTGCTCCCCTGCCAGCCTGTTTTTCCCTTAACTGCTGTCCCCTGCAGGCCTGGTCCCCCCAACTGCTCTCTCCTGCAAGCCTGGGTCCCCGCCAACTGCCCTTCTCTATAGGCTTGATCACCCCCAACTGTCCTCCCTTGCAGGTTTGGTTCCTCCCAACTGCCCTCTCTTGCTGGTCATCTTGTGGTGGCCGTCCTGTGTCCACATGGGGGCAGCCATCTTTGACCACATGGGGTAGGCCATCTTGTGTGTTGGAGTGATGGTCAGTCTGCATATTACTCTTTTATGAGATAGGCTTCTGAAAGATTGTTTAAAGAAGTCTATAGAGATTTCAGAAGAAAATTAGACTCTGTTTCACTTTTCTTTCTCTCTCTCTCTTTCACCTACTTTGTAAATATTTATCGAGTGCCTGCTATGTTTTAGTTTGGGGATAGAATAATAAACAAAATCCCTGTCCTCATGATGCATATATTCTAGTGGGGGAGAGACAAACAAATTATAACTCTTAATTCCATGCTATATTAGGAAGTGATGAGTACTATGTAAAAACTAAAAGAGGGAAGATAAATGAGGGTGGGTGGGGATTAACATTTTAAGGTCGTTAGTGAAGATGTTCCTGAGAAAGTGACATTGGAATAAAGACTTGATTGATGTGTGTGAGCCATGTGGGTGTCTCTGGGAGAGCTTTTCAGGCAGAGTGAGTAGCCATACCACTGCCCTGAGCTGGGAAGATTGTGTAGACTTGAGCTTTTGCTTAAAATGTGATGGGGAGCCATTGGAAGGTTTTGAGCAGAGGAACAATATGAACTGACTAAAGGACCAGTTTGGTTGCTTGTGAGAACAGCCTGTGGTGGAGGTTGGGGGTAAAGAGGCAGGAGGAGGCTGGGAGACTCAAAGAGACCAGAGAGCCACCATGTGCGAGATGAAGCAGCTTAGACTGGAGCAAAAGCAAGGGAGGTGGGAAGAAAGTGGTGAATTCTGGATCTTTATGGAGGTGGAAGCACTGCATTTCTGGATGGATTGGATGTGGGATGTGAGAGAAAGAGAAGACTTAAAGACGATTCCAAAATTTTTGGCATGAGCAGCTGAAAGGATGGAGCTGTCAGTTACAGGTTGGGAAAGTGTGTGGCTAGAGCAGGTGTGGGGGAGAGATTAGGGTTTAGGTGGGACATGTTAAATTTAAGATTTGGTATCTAAGTACAGGTGTCAAAGGCACGTGATATCAGAGGGGAGAGGTTGAGGTTGGTGAAATATTTGGGAAAAGATCTGGGAGGAAGGAATGGAGGAGAAACACCCCAGAATCCTGGTAGAAAAGTTCCTAACTCCAAAGAATGGGTTTTAAGGGCCCAGAGAGGCATCTCCTCATGGTGGCCCTGGTGCTCGTGCTCAGAGGCAGCTGAGCTCCAGTGCGCATTGTGGGAGTGGGCTGTGGGGCCTCTCAGAGGCCACTGCCTGTCTCAGAATTTTATTTTTAAAAATATATTTTTATTGATTTCAGAGAAGAAGGGAGAGGGAGAGAGAGAGATAGAAATACCAATGATGAGAGAGAATCATTGATCAGCTACCTCCTGCAGGCCCCATCCTGGGGATGGAGCCCACAACCCATGCAAGCATTTTGATCAGTAGTCCACCTGTGACCTCCTGGTTCATAGGTCGACACTGAATCACTGAGCCATGCTGGCCAGGCTATCTCAGAATTTTAGATACTTAAGGTGGAAGCTACTATCATTGATTTTGAATCTTTCTTCTTTTATAATATAAGCATTAAAGCAAAAAATTTCCCCCTCAGTACTTTAATATACCACACTGTATCTTCATATACTATTTTATCACTTCATGTATAATGAAAAACTTAGAGTGCTTAATATTATAGGGATTATATAGTTTTTAAAGAGTTTGAAAGAACATTTACCCTTGAAACTGTTTGGGTGTTAACTTATTTTGGGGGGATAGTTTTTTAATTCATTCTTATCAATATTATGTAAAATACAAGACTCCAAAATGACAGACCAAAAAACCCATAAAACATGTTTAATGAAGATGCTTATCAAATTAATTTTTAAATTTTTTAGAGAAAAATGCGTTTGCTATTTTTTCTGTAGTAATCCTATCCTATATAATAAAACCCTAAAATGCAAATTGACCAAACTATAGAATGACTAGAGGAATGACCGGTCGCTGTGACATGCACTGAACATCAGGGGGCAAACGCTCAATGCAGGAGCTTCTCCCTGATGGTCAGTGTGCTCCCACAAGGAGAGCATCGCCCAGCCAGAAGCTGGGCTCATGGCTGGCGAGTGCAGCTGCGCTAGTGGGAGCCTCTCCAGCCTCAACTGCAGGCGGGCAGTAAGGAGTGAGGATGTCCCAGACTGCAAGAGCCCTGGACTGCAAGCGGGATATCTGACTGCTGGCTTAGGTGTGGGAATTGAACCCTGACCCCCTGGTTCATAGTTTGATGCTTAACCACTGACCACCACTGGCTGAGTTACTATCTTTTATTATTGTATAGTTTTTATTTTTGGTGGATAGTGAAGAAATTAAATCAAATTAATATATAACCTTTTTTAAACAGAAATAATAATTTTTTGAAACCAGTTGCAAGACTACTTCTGGGATAGAAGGATAGAATTTAGTGTACAAATCAGCTACCTAGATTTCCTCTCAGGTCAGTGAACAGCCGTAGCTAAAAAAGATGCCGAGGAAGGGCTGGTTGCAGCCAATGCTCCCTGCTGGTCTGCTGAGAACACCCGCACCCTGGAACTAGTCCACATCAGTGCCTCAGGCTGTGTTGTGTTGGTAATGGATGTTTTGAAAATTCACAATTATTATTTTAAAATTTTCATTAAGAATTACTTATAAGAGGATCCAAGATGGCTGCACAGGTAAACACCTAACTGCAGCCTCACACAACAGTTTCAATAAAATACAACTAAAATACAAAATGGACATTACCCAGAACTACAGGAAAGTCAACTGACTGGAAATTCTACAACTAGAAGGAAAGAGAAAACCAGAAGGAAAAGCAGAGGAGCTATAAAAGCTTAAGTACGGAGACACGCTGCGCGCAGAGAAGATGGAGCTGGAGAAGAGTGGGAGGCTGTGTGCTTGGCTGGCGTTCCCTAGTGGGAAGAAGATAAAAGCTTCAGACTGTGCTGAACCCCAGACCCAACAGCTCTGAACCCCAGTTCTTGGCCAGACCCTGGGGACCCAGGCTCATACAGAGGTAACCTGGACTGTGAGGCGGTATCTTGGGGGAGTGGCAAAAGGCAGAGTCCCGGAGTCGTGAACATTACGTGCAGAGGACGGACTGTTGACTCTGCTGCTGGATTGCCCTGGCGGGAAGGAGACAAAGGCTCCAGACTGTGCTGGGCCCCAGTTCCGACTGCACTGAGCCCCAATTCTGGGTCAGACCCTGGGGACCCAGGCTCATACAGAGGGAGCCTGGATGGTAAGGCGGAAACCCGGGGAAGCGGCGAAAGGAGGTCCCAGAGGCACGCACATTGCGCACAGAGAACAGAGTGTTGACTGTGCTGCTGGATTGCCCTGGCGGGAGGGAGACAGGGGCTCCAGACTGCTCTGAACTCCACTTCCAACTCCAAGTGGACTGAACCCCAGTTCCGGTCTCATTGGGGGAGAGCCTAGCCTGTTTGGTGGTGGGCGAAACTCGAGGGCTCCTTTCAGAGGTGCTAGTAGCAAGTACCGGAGGACACAGGAATACTGAGACTCAGGAGCCTCATAGGGTGTGGCTGACGGAAGCCAAGACTGGAGGCTCCACCCAAAAACTCCTCCCCATCCAAGCTGAACACAGAGACTTTTAAGGCTACCAACTCAGGGAAGCTGCAAAAATGCCGAGACAAGGAAATAGATCACAAACGAAAGAAATGGAGGACAAAAAGCGACTGGATATAGAGTTCAAAATCACACTTATAAGGTTGTTCAAGAATCTCCTAGAAAAGGCCGATAAAATAAACGAGACCTATGAGGATATGAAAAGGGATCAACTAGAAATAATAAGGGATCAATAAGAAATAATAAGGGATCAACAAGAAATAAAGAATACATTCTCTGAAATAAAAAATATTATACAGAGTACTAAAAATAAAATGGAAGATCGCAAGAATCAAATAAGAGATTTTGAACATAAAGAGACAGAAGACACTCCTCCGCAGAAGTAAGAAGACAAGAGAATCCAGAAAGTTGAAGATAATGTAAGAAACCTGGGACAACTTCAAGCGAACCAACATCAGAATTATGGGGGTCCCAGAAGATGAGAGAGAGCAAGATACCGAAAACATACTGAAAGAAATAGTGACAGAAAACTTCCCCCACCTGGTGAAAGAATTAGACTTACAAGTCCAGGAAATGCACAAAACCCCAAACAAAAGGAATCCAAAGAGGACCACACCAAGACACATCATAATTAAAATTCCAAGAGCAAAAGACAAAGAGAGAATATTAAAAGCAGCAAGAGCAAAGCAGGTAGTTACCTATAAAGGAGCACCCATACGATTGTCAGCTGATTTCTCAACAGAAACCATGCAGGCCAGAAGGGAATGACAAGAAATATTGAAGGTGATGAATAGCAAGAACCTACAGCCAAAAATAATCTACCCAGCAAAGCTATCACTCAGAATCGAAGGCCAGATAAAGAGCTTCACTAATAATAAAAAAAAAAAAAAAGCTAAAGGAGTTCATCACTGCCAAACCAGAATTATATGAATTGCTGAAGGGGGTTCTTTAGGAAGAGGAAGAAAATAAAGATAAAAACTATGAATAACAAATACATAACTATCAACAAGTGAATCTAAAAACCAAGGGAATTAAAAAAAAAATCTGATGTACAATATTAACTGGTGAATATAATAGAATCAGAGGTATGGAAGGGGAGTGAACTGACAATTCTCAGGGAAAAGGGGAGTGGGGAGTATGGGAAGAGCCTGAACAAAAACTGTGCACCTATGGATGAAGACAATGGGGAGTGGGGAAAGGGCAGAGTGTGGGGTGGGAACCTGGTGAAGGGGAGCAATGGAGGGGGGGAAAATGAGGAACATTTGTAATAATATGAACAATAAAGATTTATTTAAAAAGAATTTCTTATAATTTGATTTTGATTTATAAAAATAATATGCTTTTACATTTAAAGGGAATGAAGGCAACATAAATGAGTTAATAATTACTTATAATTAATGGATGAGTAAGGTTGCGTTCTCATTTTTCATTACAGAAGCATTTTTTAGCCATCCTTTTCTTGAGCAAGTTCCACTAAAAAAATGTGAGTACCCACTTTTTGCATTTTTACTGAGGAGAGAATGCAAGCTTAAGGAAAACATTAGTATTTTGTATTACAAAATTAATTTTTGTGCTTTTTAAGATTTCATTGACCTTTTTTTTTTAAATACCTGTAGTTGTGTTTATTCCATAACAGTTCTGTTTTTTACTTCTAAAGCCAACTTTAAATAATTTAGTTGTTGCTGCATTTAGTAAGTTAAGTTAATGTGCATTTTTGGTTAACATGAACATGCAGCAATTTGACAAGTTTTTCTGTTAGTCATGTCGTGTAACTGAAGTACGAAGTGTGTTTCTCCTCTGTTTGCTCTGACAGCCTGCCCCGTGCCCGTGCCCCCGTGTGCTGGCTCCGCCTTGGGAAGTTCCTGCGGCAGCTCGCCGCTGTGCCGCTTTGCCTCTCCACCAGTGAGTTGGGTTTTATTAAAACTACTTGCAGTTCGTGCTGCTGTGTCTGTTCACTGGGGGGCCTGGGACTGCACTGTAGATATTCTCTTTATATATAGTGTTTGATAGCAGCCTCGGCTTAGGTCAAATGGACCTAGCTTTTGTCTCTACCCTGTTTTAGCTTCAGCAAGAAATTTTACCTTCTGGCTGATTTCCTCTAAACACTGAGTGGGCTGCTCTGGTCTCTGCATGCCCCGTGGGGTTGGGCAGGATGATACTTGCAAACAAAGAGAGTCTTTTACTTACTTAAATCTTGGTGGAGAGGTAATTTATAAAACTTATTTTATCTGGATGTCATGAACCGAAGCCCATGTGAAGGAGCCGCCCTAGAGTCCGTCACTGACTTAGATGTGGTTCCTGGCCCTGCAGGGTTGGTTCACTCCAGCCTCTCATTTCTGCGAGGTTCCCAAGCCCTTTCTTCAGGGCTTGCTTCCCTCCTTCTACGTGCTCCTTCCTGACCCTGAGAACTTCTGCTCACTCTCACACTGCTGCTTCCTCTCTACTCTTCCTTCCTTTACCGTCTTTTGTATTTTCCCAGACCGGCCCTTCCCCAGATCGCTGTGCAGCCTGGGAGGGTGGTGGCCTTGAGGGTTTTCTGCAAGCTGGAGGTCCAAGGGCTCGTGTGTCAGCTATTATATGTTCCAGGCTTGCCTGGCACCACGAATTTCTTCAACAGGGTGGGCGGCCATAAAAGGAGGTGCTGGATGATTTCCTGGGTGAGGCCACTCAGAGGTCTAAAAGCATGGGGCTTGGGAGCTTCACAACCCTTGCTTGCCACTAGGCCAGTGGTCTGCAAACTCATTAGTCACCAGAGCCAAATATCAACAGTACAACGATTGAAATTTCTTTTGAGAGCCAAATTTTTTAAACTTAAACTATATAGGTACATTGTTATTAATTAAGGTACTCCTAAGCTGGCCTTTGCTAAAAATTCAAGGGGCCAAAGAAACCGCATGCGGCTCATGAGCCATAGTTTGCTGACCACTGAACTAGGACAAAGGACGTAATGTCTCTAAACTGGTTTCTCATATGTAAAGTGAGGATAATTTACCTCCTTCCTGGGGTTTTAGAAGGATAAGTGAGCAAAAGCACTTGCTACAGTGCTGGACACACAATAAATACTTAGGAAGGGCAACTGTTATTATTTTCCAGGGAAACCTAGCAACCCTTAGCTAACGGGATGCTGCCTGCCTGTGGCAGACTCCTCCTCAAAAGCCCTGTGACTCAGGCTGAATAGAACAGGCAGGTGGGCTAACAAGACTTCATCATATTCCCATAAGTTTAAAGAGCGACAAGCCCTGGATTTGGAGTGACGCGATAAGTGGGGAGGAAGTGAATTGCCATGGAAAGCCTATAGGCTTTGTTTGGAGTCGTATCACTGGCCTCAGTGCTGTGGCCGCTTGCTCATTTGTGACTTTGGGCCAGTCAGGTCCAGAGCTGAGCCTGGCTTCCGTGTCTGTAAGGTAGGCCTAACTAACCTTTGTGTAAAGGCAGCGTGTGGCAGTCTGTGCAGGGTGCCTGGCATAGTGAGTATTGGTAAGCTGTAGCTATTATTATGAACTATATATTTGATACGCATGATATATAATACAGAAAGCAAAGTTTATGCTAGAATAAGGAAACAGGAAGAATCTGTGGAAACAGGAGTGAAGGAGCTTGTGGGTTGAGAAAGAGGCCAGTGGGAAGGACGTTGAGCTGGAAACAGCTTTGCTGGCGAGAGCATGGCGATGCTTTTGCTGGGTAGGTAGTATTGAAAAGTAGAGCAACACAGGAGCGAGACTTTGGGCTGCTGAGGAAGAGAGGATAAGGCCCTGATGGGAGTGAAGAGGCACAGGAGGAGAGAGGAGGCATTTTCAGAGGGAACCCATTTTTAGAAGGCCTTTATTAAAAGCTCACACTTAAAGTGAAAATAAAAGGGGAAGATGGAAAATAAAAAGAATGAAGGAGTGTCTCTATATAATTTCCAGTTGGTGAGATTAGAAAATGGCAGGTTTGATTGGTTTTTAACACAATCTGCCAAAAGTAAGATGATTTCATACCTGCGTTCTCTCCCTTTCTGTGGTTGGAGTAGACTTACTCAGGCTGAATGCACACAAGTGTGCACATTCTTTTTTTTTTACTTTCACACAAATATCAGTTGCATCTTTCTCCAGAGAAATCTTTGAAAGGCAAAAATACAAAAAAAAAAAAAAAAACAAAACCAAAAAACAAAACGAAAAAAAACCTTAAAGTAAATCCACATCATTCTTTTTGTTAAGGTACTGGCTATAGATTAAATGCTTTTTAGATGATATCTCTTTAATGTGTATTTATTAGTTTTATTCATTTATTAAAAGCCTGCTTTGTGTGAGGTTCTGGTTGATACTGATGAATGATATGATAGTAAGGAATTTTAATTGTGTGGAGAAGAGGCAGGCTGATCAATCACTATTAGAAGCAGGCCTGACTGTCTTTTTTGCCAGAGGGAATGTGGAAGAGGGGCATGAGATCAGACCAAGAACTAAGGAAGGCTGCTCAGAATAGGGCATTGAGTTGAGATTAGAAGAAAGAATTAGCAAGGAGAGTTAGTAAAAGAATAGTGCTGTAGGCAGAGGAATCTTCGTTCACAAAGTCATGGACGCACAGCCTACGAAGGAGCTCTGTTGCCCTCCATGGTCACTTATATTCAAATTGGTTTGAACTAAGTAAAATTTAAAAATGAGTTAGTCACACTAGCCACATTTCAAGTATGCGGTAGCATATAGAGCTAGTTGCTGCCGTACTGGACAGTTTAGATATGGAACTTTGTCGTCATTGCAGGAAGTTTTCTTGGACAAGTCTTCTAAGCAGTCCAGTCTGGTGGGTGTAAAGAGCACTATGAGGGGAAATCAGTTAAAGTGGTGGGGAGAAGATGTACCTTGAAAGAATTTAGGCATTGAGCTAAGTTTATCCTTAAAGCTATTTGAGGTATTTGAATGATTTTATGTGGAGATATTATATGATCCACTATGGGTTTTAGCTAGATTTTTCTTCTTCTTCTTCTTCTTTGAGCTAGATACTTCTAAAAGCAGGGTGGAGGACTAGACTGGAGACAAATAGAGAGGTCTTTCCACTCGAGGAAAGAGAACAATCCGATACTATGGAAGCTGTTTTGTTTTTGCGTGGTTGAGCATTGACCTGTGAACCAGGAGGTCACATGCCTGTGTTTCAGGCTCTATTCCCAGTATGGTGCGTGCAGGATTATCATTGATGTTTCTTTCCTTTCCTCTCCCTTCCTCTCTGAAATCCATAAAATGTATTAAAAGAAAAAAAATAAGGACCGAACTAAGGCAGCAGTAAGAAAAAGAAGAAGGGGATGGGAAGCAGGTGGGAGAAAAGTAGAGTTTGCAGAGCTTGGTGATGCTTGAACTTGGGACTTAAGGAGGAGGGAGACCTTAAAGACAATGGATAGATGGGTGATGGTGAAGGTACCCCATAAGGGAGCATAGGGAGGAATGAATTTGCATTGTACTGGCAAGTAACAGAGGGCTAGAGCTTATTGGAGAGGACCTGTGCTGCAGAGTCCTCATGAGGTAGGAAGAGCTGGAAGGTAGGGTAAGTGTGGTCACAGATAAGTAGAAAGCAGGTGAGAAGAGGAGGAGCAGGGTGGCACCTAAGGGAATTCTGTACTCCTGTCTTCTAAGGGGCTGATGAGAAGCAGGCACTCACAAAAGAGAAGTAGCAAAAGCAAGAAAGAGCAGGGTCGCTGAGTGAAGGGGGAGAGTGTCAAAGAAGGGAACGGTCCGCAGTTCAGTTGCAACAAAGAATTCAAGGAATTTAAGGAGTAGGCAGTGGTTGTTGCTGGTAAACTTAATAAAGGCGATTTTATTTGAGCATTGAAGGCAGTAAGTGTATTATGGTTGGTTGAGGGGTACATGGGAATTGAGGAATTTGAGTCAGTGAAGATGGATAATTTCAAGAAATGTCGCTAAGAGAAGATGGCAATTGAGAGGGCTGCAGGGATTTGAATAGGAGAAAATGAAACATGTTTCTGTGCAGAGGATAGACGTGTCAGGAGAAAGGGAAGTTGACCGAGGTGCTTGAAGAGGCGGGAAGAATGAAATCAGATGGTGGAGAGATTAGCTTGGAACAAGGGGAAGCATCTCTTTCACCAAGACAGCTGTGGCTGCAGGTAATTTTATAAATAGCAGAGGAAGAAATTCAGAAAGTTCTGCTTAAACCACTAGAAAGACGTGTGGACATACTTGGAATAACATCTCAATTGCTTTCAATTGTGTGACTTTGGACAAATCCTGACCTTCTGAGTTCTGTTTATTTAAAGATGGAATGGCCGAAACTGGTGTGGCTCAGTGGATAGAGCGTCAGTCTGCGGACTGAAAGGTCCCAGGTTTGATTCTGGTCAAGGGCATATACATTGGTTGTGGGCACACCCCCAGTAGGGGTGTGCAGGAGGCAGCTTGTCGATATTTCTCTCTCTTCGATGTTTCTAGCTCTCTCTCCTTCTCCCTTCCTCTCTGTAAAAAAATCAATAAAATATATTTTTAAAAATAATAATAAAAAATAAAGATGGAATGGATTCCATGATGGGACTGAAGTTAACTAATACAAGGAAAGCTCTCCACAGTGTCCAGCCCATGGTTGATGTTCCTTCCGTCTTACCTTTCTTGAGATATAAATTATCTTTAAAAAGTAATGAGGAGTGCCGAAACCGGTTTGGCTCAATGGATAGAGCGTCGGATTGGGGACTGAAAGGTCCCGGGTTCGATTCCGGTCAAGGGTATGTACCTTGGTTGCGGGCATATCCCCAGTAGGGGGTGTGCAAGAGGCAGCTGATCGATGATTCTCTCTCATCGATGTCTCGAACTCTCTATCCTTCTCTCTTCCTCTCTATAAAAATCAATAAAATGTATTTTTTTTTTAAAGTATCATGCTAAGTGAACTAAGTCAGAAAAGGACAAAAAAATAAAACAAAACAAAAAGTAATGAGGAGGACCGGATAGCGAGGCTCAGAGGTTGAACATTAACCTATGAACCAGAAGTTCAGTTCCTAATCAGGATACGTGTCTGGGTTGTGTCTCAATCCCCAGTAGGGGGCATGCAGGAGGCAGCGAATCAATGTTTGTATATCATCATTGATGTTTCTATCTCTCCGTCCCTCTCCCTTCCTCTCTTTGAAATCAATAAAACATATTTTTAGCTGAGACCGGTTTGGCTCAGTGGATAGAGCGTCGGCTTGGGGACTGAAAGGTCCCGGGTTCAATTCCGGTCAAGGGCATGTACCTTGGTTGCGGACATATCCCCAGTAGGGGATGTGCAAGAGGCAGCTGATCGATGACTCTCTCTCATCGATGTTTCTAACTCTCTCCCTTCCTCTCTGTACAAAATCAATAAAATATAATATATTTTTAAAAAAACAACATATTTTTAAAAAAGTAATAAGGAGATTTTATGTCAAGTGTGCATCACACACATAAAAAGAAGAGATAAGATTTGAGACTGATTTCATTGCACAGTAACTTTCAAAGAAGCACCAGCAGTGAATTTAAAGAGCATTATAAAGTATTTTTTCTCTTTTTAAATAGAAATGAAGGTTAAACATAATAGGGACTTAATACATAGTAACTCATGCATTTCGGTGTTTTAGAAAACCATTGCATAATCAGGGCATTCAATTAGAGTTGTCCCTAGAGACCTTGAACTAGGCAAGTGCCAAAAGGTGTAAAGAGATACTTACACCTGAGTATTTGTTTACATATATTCATATGTTTTCTTCCCTTGCTGTTCCATTTCCCACAAACCAACTCCTCCCCTAACCTCTCCTTGAAGGTTTTCCAAATCTTTCTTTTTGTGAGTGTAAACAAATCTCTCTGCTTAAATGCAGTTATCCTTATTGGTTTGTTTACATTTTTACATAATATGGTCTGCTTTTCTGTTTACAATGTTTTTTGCATTTGGAGATTTAAAACTGTGTGTGCTTGCAAGATGTCATTAAAGTCCCTGGCATGTTAAGTAAACAGCTACTGAGTATCTACTTTGCTAGGCAATGAGCTGAACCCAGCGATGTTGGGATGGTACAGACTCATCTCAAAACTTGTAGGCGAGGCAAACAGGTACATGTGCTAAATGGCATGATACATTTTTATTGATTTCAAAGAGTAAAGGAGAGGGATAGAGATAGAAACAGTGATAAGAGGGAATCTTTGATTGACTGCCTCTTGCACTCCCCCTACTGGGGGTTCGAGTCCAAAACCCGGGAATGTGCCCTAGATCCAAATCGAAGCCGGGACTCCAGTCCCCAGGCTTGACGCTCTATCACAGAGCCAAACCAGCTAGGGCGGCATTATATATTTTTTAAGTATCACGTTTGGAAAACATTTAAGAAGTCTTTTTGCAAAGAGATTAAAAACTGTGCTTTTTGAAGGGAAAGATTTCCAAATAGATTTATTAAAATTTTAGATGGAATTGAACTTTATGCCTAATTGAGTGAAAAAAAACAAAACCAACTTTTTATTGTAATGCCTGTACTGACTTCCACTTTATTACTAGGCCAGTGTTAACTTGATGTTGTTAATTTTAGTCCCTTGCAGATATGCAGCATATTCAGGAAGAAAACCTATCCTCCCCACCATTGGGCCCTCCCAACTACCTACAAGTGTCCAAAGATTCTGCCAGTACTAGTAGCAAGAACTCTTCTTGTGACACGGATGACTTTGTTTTGGTTCCACACAACATCTCGTCAGACCACTCATGTGAGAATATTTTCTGCTTGTACACATTCTATTTTTTAACTTACTAGACTAGCATTTTTTAACGTTTATATATACTCTCTTATTATTTAGTTGTTTGAATTCCCAATATTACATGCCTAACTTTCTAAAATCTGCTTGGCTATCTTCCATAAAACAATAACTTTGGATTCTGAAGGTACATGAAAACTAAAGGAAATTCTCTCAAATTCTCTTTGTGTCTGACAAAATAGAGAAGCCAACGTAATAAGAGAAATTAAATTAAATTTAAGGAGAGGAATTAAAGGAAGACCTCTTTTGGAAAAAAAAAAAAAAAAAACATAAGCATCAGAGGATTCTTAAAACAATCTGGATGCCTTCAGAGAGAATGGCAGGAATGAACTTCATAGAGAGATAGGAAGAACTTTTATAAAGAAAGATGAATCCAAATTGACTAAATACTGTAGGCCTGTTTATATTGTCTGTGTCTTCATGTGTGAGTTTTGGCAAATTGTGTGTTTTACAGAATTGGTCCATTTCATCTAGGTTATCAAATTGATGGCATAGAGTTATTCATGGTAGCACTCTATTATCTGTCTTCCCCTTTCCCCCCATTATCGGTCTTCTTAATCTCATTGGGACCTTTAAGCATGTCCCTTCTTGCATTTCCAAAATCACAATTTGTATCCTTTCTCTTCTTTTCTTAGTAACCTTGGAAGCTTACCGATTTTCTCAATCTTTTCAAATAACCAACTTTTGGTTTTGTTGATTTTATTGATTTGCTGTTTTCACTTTCATTGATTTCTGCTCTAATTTTTATTATTCCTTTTATTATGCTTTCTTTGAATTTAATTTGCTCTTCTTTTTCTAGTTTCCTAAGATGGAAACTTAGATTGAGTTTAGATCTTTTTTGTTTTCTAATATATGCTATACATTTCTTTTCAAGCACTTCTTTTTCTGCTTCCCACAAATTTTGTTAAGTTTTGTTTCATTTTCATTTACTTCAAAATACTTTAAAATTTCTCTTAAAGTACCAGGTGTATTGGTTAATAATGCAGATTTTTTTTCAATAGATGGAATTACACATATGTTAATATATGTGTGATTTTGTTGTATTAGCAGCAAGCTTCAAAACTTCATATGTCAAATTTTCTGAAGGTGTTAACATTATAGATATTTTTACGCTTAAAAATGTCGAATTTTGTGCCAAAAAGCATTTTCAGGAAGTTTTAATTCATTATTTTGAAGAAAAAGTTATCATATACTTCAGGAAGCTTATAGTGAACATGCTTCATATTAAGATACTTCGGAACCCTGGTTTAAACATTTTTAAAGTGGTGATTTCTATGTGAAAGACAAAGAACATCCAGGTCAAAAGGAAAAGTTTGAAGACCAACAATTACAAGCATTATTGGATGAAGATGCGTGTCAAACTCAAAAACAACTTGCAGAAAGATTAAACGTTACTCAGTAAGCAATTTCTGATCGTTTATAAGCAATGGGAAAGATTTTAAAGGAAGATTTTAAAGAAAGATTTTTAAGGGTGACACATCAACTAATGAAAGACAAATGAAAAACCGAAAAATCATCGGTAAAATGTTGCTTCAACGGCACAAAAGAAAGTCTTTTTTGCATCAAATTGTGACTGGCGATGAAAAGTGGCTTTATTTTGAGAATCCCAAACACACAAAATCATGGGTTGATGCAGGTCAACCGTCAACATTGACTGCAAGGCCAAATCGCTGTGGGAAGAAGACAGTGCTCTCTGCATTTGGTGGGATCAGGAAGGTGTGGTGTATTATGAGCTTCTAAAACCAGGTGAAACCGTTAATACTGATCACTACTGACAAAAATAATCAATTTGAACCACACTTTGATCATGAAACGACCAGAATGGGCTAAATGACACGGCAAAGCAATTTTGCTTCATGATGACGCACCATCACACACTTCAAAACCAGTTAAAGACACTTAACTGGGAAGTATTAGCCCACCCTTTGTACTCACCAGATCTTGCTCCTTAGGATGACCACTTGTTCTGAGCAGCATTTCAAACTATATGAAGAAGTGGAAAATAGGGTCTCTGACTGGTTTTCCTCAAAACAAGAAAAGGTCTATTGGGACAGTACCCACAAATTACCTGAAAGATGGGAGAAATGTGTAGCTAGCAATGGACATTACTTTGAATAAAACACTTTTGATGTTTCTCTTGGTGTTTTCTTTGATTACAAAATCCGCATTATTAACCGGTACACCTGGTATGTTCTTTGACTCGAGTTAGATATTTAGAAGTGTGTTTGTTGTTTAATTTCCATATATTTTTGGATTTTCCAGTTATCTTTTTATTATTGATTTTTTTAAAAATCCTCACTGAAGATATTTTTCTATTGATTTTTAGAGAGAGTGGCAGGGAGAGGGAAGAACAGAAAGAAATATCAGTGTGAGAGAGACATATTAATTGGTTGCCTCCACACACTCCCCAAACAGGGCAGGGATTGAGCCTGCAACCAACGTATAAGGTAGATGCCCTTGACTGGAATCAAACCCATAGTCCTTCAGTCCATGGATTGATGCTATAACCTCTGAGCAAACTGGCTAGGGCCTATTGATTTTTAGTTTTATTTCATCATTATCTGAGAGAAGAGATGTGATTTTTACTCCTTTAAATTTGTTAACATATGTTTTATATTGTAGTCTGTAATCTGTTTTGGTGAGTTTGAGAAAAATGTGTCTTATGTTGTTGGATGAAGTAGCCTATAGATGTCCATTATACCCAGTTGATTGATGATGTTGTTGAGTTCAACTCTGTCCTTATTGATTTTTTTGTCCCCTGGATCTGTCTATTTCCGAGGGAGGATTATTGAAGTTTCCAACTATAATAGTGGATTCATCTATTTTTCCTTGCACCTGTATCAGTTTTTACCTTAATGTTTTGATTCTGTTGTTAGGGGCATACATGTTAAGAATTGTTATGTCTTGAAGAATTTATAAAATATAAATATAATTTTATCATTCAGTAATGCCCTTCTTCGTCTCTGATTACTTTTCTTACTTTGAAGTCTGCTTTGTCTGAAATTAATATAGTTTTCCTGCTTTCTTCTTATTAGTATTAGTATCAATTTTTTCCCTATCCATTTACTTTTTTAAAAATAATACATTTTTATTGATTTCTAGAGAGAGAGGAAGGGAGAAGGAGAAGGGAAATCAATGAGACAGAGAAATATCTATTAGCTGCCTCCTGCATGCCCTCTACTGGAGATCAAGTCTGCAACCTGGTCATGTGCCCTGTCTGGGAATTCATCTGGTGACCTCCTGGTTCATGGGTCGATGCTCAACCACTGAACCACACTGGTCGGCTATATTTTCTTTTCTTCCTTTTTTTTCCTCCTTCTCTCTCTCCCTCCCTCCCTCTCTCCCTCCTTCCCTCTCTCCCTCCCTCCCTCTCCCTCTCTTCCTTCCCTCCCTTCTCTCTTCCCTCCCTCCCCTTTCATTTCCCTTCCTCCCTCCCTCTCTCCTTCTTTCCCTCCCTCCCTCCATCCCTCCTTTCCTTCCTTCTCTCTTCCTCTCTCCCTCTTTCCTCCCTCTTTCCCTCCCTCTCTCCCTTCCTCCTTCCCTCCCTTCCTCCTTTCCTCCCTTCCTCCTTTCTTTCCTTTTTCTTTCTCTCTTTTTCTATAAAGAGCAGATAAACTCTTTTCTTTTTAAAAATATTGGGGGGGGGTATATATATATGTTTATTGATTTCAGAGAGGAAAGGAGAGGGAGTAAGAGATAGAAATAGCAATGATGAGAGAGAATCATTGATCAGGTGCCTCCTGCACACCCCCCTACTGGAGGATTGAACCCACACTCTGGGCATGTGTTCTGATGGGGAATTGAACCAGCAACCTTTCAGTGCATGGGATGACATCCAACCAACAGAGCCGCACCGACCAGGGCTACCCATTTACTTTTAATCTATATGTGTCTCTATGTTTTAACATGAGTTTCCTGTATGCAACATATAGTTGGGTTGTATGCTTTGATCCACTCTAAAATTTCTCTTAATTGGTCCATTTAGACCATTAATGTTAAAAGTGATTATTAATAGAATTAGGTTAATATCTACCATATTTGTAACCTTTTTCTATTGTCATTGTTTTTTTAATTATTGTCTTTCTTGTTTTTCCAATTATTATTTCATTTTCTTTCTGTACTTAACATATCAATTATACTTTTTAAAACTTTAAAGTCTATAGTTTTGTGGCTCAGTGGTTGAACATAGACCTATGAACCAGAAGGTCAAAGTTCCATTCCTGGTTAAGACACATTCCCAGCTTTGGGCTGGATCCCTGGTAGGGGGTGTGCAGTGACCAGCCAATCAGTGATCTCTCTCATTATGGGTGTTTCTACTTCAATCTCCCTTTTCTTTTCTCTCTGAAATGTATAAAAAAAAATTCATATATTTTTTAAAAACTTTTTTGTGGTTACCCTAAAGTTTGCAATATACATTTATAAATAATCAACGTTCACTTTCAAATAACATTGTACCACTTCACAGATAATGTGAGTTCACCTTATTATAACAAAATAATCCTTATAACTACCTCCTATCTCTTATATTATTGCAGTCATTCATTTTGCTAGTGTAAGCATTCTTAAGCCTATATATGTGTTACACATAAGGTATATACAAGCATATATAACTGAATACATTATTGCTGTTATTATTTTGAGCAAACTGTTATATCATTTAAGAATAAGAAAAATGAAATTTTTTATTTTACCTTAACTTATTCCTTCTTTGCTGTTCTTCCTTTTTTTTTTTTTTTTTTAGATACAATTTTCTGACATTGTTTTCCTTCTCTCTGAAGAACTTTTAACTTTTTTTTTTGCAAGGCAGATCCAGTGGCAAGAAATTTCTCAATTTTTATTTTTCTGAGGAAGTCTTTTTCTTTACCTTTGAAGGATAATTTTGCAGGATATAGAACTCTTAAGTTGGTGGTTTATTTCTCTCAACACTTTGAATATTTCATTCTATTCTTTTC